GGGGATGCCTTTATGTGCTTGCGAAGTGGGGAAGCAGTGATGTCCATGGATCAATGTAGCATGGATCAGACAATTATACAGTCTAAAGACTTCCAGACAATAACCAACCATATCAAACCGTTGCAGTAGGTAGCTTACGCCCCACAGTAAGCAAGTCGCATCAGCATGACGAGGCCCAGAGATTATCTACTTCTCAACTCCATCCAGACATGACAATGCCCCTGACGAATACCACCATCACGCAACGAGCCATCACAATATTTCAGAGACAATGGTTATAAAAGCCAAGTACTCACCTACTTCAAGAACCACAAATCATCAACACAACCATCCAACTACCAATCCAAATCCTCAAAGCCACTCTCAGCTTCTGCATCACCATGAAACTCCCAGCACTCCTCCTCGCCCCAATCCTGCATACAATATGCACCACCGCGCAAAACCTCTCCTACGGCGCCGACAACTTCTACCGAAGTAACCTGGTAACCCTGCAACCAGTGACCTTCCCAACCCAATACCAAACCCTCATCGCCGGCAACCTCTTCATCCCCAACAACCTCACCACCTCCACCCCATCCCCCGCCATCATCGTCGGCCACCCCATGGGCACCGTAAAAGAGCAATCCGCCAACCTATACGCCACCAAAATGGCCGAACGCGGGTACATCACCTTATCCATCGACCTCCCCTTCTGGGGCAGCAGCACCGGCACCCCCTGCAACGCCGTCTCACCCGACCTCTACGCCGAAGCCTTCAGCGCCGCAGTCGACTACCTGGGCAGCAACACCACCACCATCACCACCATCCCTTCCATCCCCAACCCAATAGCCATCAACCGCAACCGCATTGGCGTCATCGGCATCTGCGCCAGCGGAGGCTTCGCTCTCAGCGCGGCCAAAATCGACCCGCGCATCAAAGCCATCGTCACCGCCAGCATGTACGACATGGGCATCGCCAACCGCCAGGGTCTGCGCCACTCGCAGAACCTCACCCAGCGTCAGGAAGTAATTGCCTCCGCCGCGCTGCAGCGCTGGCCTGAGTACGAGCACCCTGGCGGAGCGACCAATCCCATTGGATATACTAGCGGCACGCCGAACACCCTCACGGCTAATGCTAGTGCCGTGGATCGCGAGTTCTATGACTTCTACCGCACGGTGCGTGGCGAGTTTACGCCGCTGGGTTCAACCCCGGAGTTGACGACGCATCCGACGGTGACGAGTAACTTGAAGTTCATGAACTTTTATCCCCTCGAGGATTTGGTTGTCATTGCGCCTAGACCTGTGCTGTTTATTTCCGGGGATCAGGCCCATTCGAGGGAGTTTAGTGAGAATGCATATAGGGGGGCTAGTGAGCCGAAGGAGTTGTTGTGGGTGCCTGGGGCTGGGCATGTTGATTTGTATGATCGTGTGGAGTTGATTCCGTGGGAGAGGATTGAGGGGTTTTTTGGAAGGAATTTGTGAATATAATTGGTGGTGAGGGGATAAACGGTGTGGTGGAAGGGGGAGGGATATGAGGTTGTAAAGTAATTGTGGAGGATGAGGATGGATGTTAGGGTTAGTAGATGGGGGGAGTTCTTCGGAATACGAGTATATTGTTGTGGAGATGGTATGCTGTACATTATTGTAGATGTATGAATGCTTTGGAAGGACTTTATCTATGCTTGTTTTTCAGTTGCACTTTATTGACTTCATCCACATACCGCTGTGCCTAGAGTGAAGAGGGGTGAGAGTTCGAATTGTTGCGTAGTTCTGTTACTTAGTTGCTTTTGCAGTCTTTTGTGATGTGGGGGTCTATAAGTGTCTGGTTACGTGTATGTACGTTAGGTAGAGAAATGAATCTACTAGACTGCATGCGTCGTGCGATTGAATTATAATCTGTAGAACATAATGGACAGACTCTATGTTGAGACGTCGTTCGTAACTAACTTTTGAAAGCAAGGACAATCAATATGCACATGAGATAGATGAAGATAAGATCATAACGTGGCTTCCGTTTACTCATCAGCCTCCTCCTCAGCACCCTCCTGCTCCTCACCAGCGACCTCCTCTTCCTCGTCAAAGGTGGTAGCAGGGACGCTGTACAGACGCAGCACAGGACGGTTGGGGTCCTTGATGAGGACGTACTTGGTGACCTTGTCCTCATCCTCATCGGCATCGAGGGCACGGATACGGTCAACAATAGTACGGACGATACCCCAACCGTTGCTGAGGTTCAGGTTCATCTGGGCAGCCAGATCACGGGGCTTGTAGCCGACAACACCGAGAACGACGTGGCCAGCGGCAGAGCGGGGGTTAGCACGGGAGACGAAACCCAGCTTCATGCCGTCAGCCTTGGCGAGGATGGCCTGGGTGGTCCAGCGGGCGAGCTTGACGCTGTTGTTCTTCATCTCGGTAGCGACAACGGCACCACGCTGAGACCAGAGCTTGCTGCGCCAGTCGAGAGCGCCACCGGAGCCCTGGGCCTTGCTGTCGAACTCGTTGAGGGCCTTGACGAGCAGCTGCTGGTCCTCGCCGTTGACGGGGTTCTTCATGAGGGCGTCGACCTCGGTACGGACGATCATGTTGACGGGCTCGTCGTCGCGCTCCAGGGACAGGTCGAAGCGGCGGTACTTGTAGGCCTTGGAGGCGAGGGGCTCGGTCTCCTCGGCGGCGTTGTAGAAGGGGTTGGGGTGAGCCAGGGAGACCTTGCTGTCCTCGGACTCGACGACGGTCTGCAGGGCGAAGTTGTGGTTGATGAAGGTGGCTTCCATGGCCAGGGCGCTGGGGGTGTTGATGGCATCCTGCTTGTTGGCGGAGTCGGCCAGCTCAAGGGGAGCGTCGGCGGCGTTCTCGTTGACGGTGACCAGGTCCAGGGAGGCGCCTTCGCGCTTGTCGAAGTAGATCTTGTTGCCCTGGTGGACGATGACAATGTCCCAAGAGTAGACACTGCGGGGGGCGCACATGAGCATGGACAGGATATCCGAGGTGGCAAAGATGGTGGCCTCGTTCTTCTCGGCCAATTCCTGGATGACGGGGTCCTGGGTGGTGGTGACGTTGTAGGCGGCACGGTCGAGGGACTGGAGACGGCGCTCGGCGTTCTTGACAGGGGCCTTGTCGTAGGACCGGTCGTAGTGGTAGAGGAAACCGTACGAGTCGACGTCCTCACCCTCGGGGGCCTCGAGGTTCAGCTTGGACAGACGGCTGAAGTCAACCTCCTCCAGCATGTTCCAGTCGGGGCGGACGTTGACCGAGGGCTCACGGGTGCGCTGGGGCTTGTCGTAGTCCTTCCAGCCGAAGCGACGGCCACGGTTGCCACGGCCGCCAGAGCGGTTATCGTAGTAGCGGTCACCACCCTGGCCACGGCCAGCACCCACACGCTGGAAGCCGGCGCGACCACCGCGCTGAGCACCACCGCGCTGGGCGCGGCCACGGAAGACGGTACCACCGCCACGGCCGAAGGTACGCTTAGCGGAGCTGCGGGTGTTGTCGACAACGGAGAAGGAGGATTCATCTTCGGCGACCTGGACGGCGAACAGGCTGGAGGAACCGGCACCATAGACTTGCTGGTCTGGAGGAAACAGAGTTAGTTACTTTGTCTTGGCTTGGCTGATATATTAGGATAATGGTATACCTCTGTAGTTGCGGTTGTAGGCCTGGCGACCGGCACGGTTAGGGTCCTTGGACTCGGCAGTCCAGTCAGCCATACGGCCCAGCTTGTCACCCTTGGAGAAGGGAGCGTAGGGGACGCCCTGCAGCATGTTGTCGCTGGCGGTAGCGGGGCCCCAGGTGTCTTCGGCCGGCAGAGCGGCGACGATGTCTGCGATAGAGATGGGAGCCATGGTGTCTGACTTAGGGATGGCCCTCAGGTAATAGGAATTATAAAGGAAAGAGAAAAAAACCCAGCGGGGAGAGTCTGGGGAAGATGGGAGGGGAGGATCGCAGACGGCGGATATTGACCGACTTGGGCTTCACTTTCGACTTTGCACTTTTTGTGTCGCGAGTCTGTGGCGCAACAAGTCTTGGCACGAGCCGCATGCACCGCCACAGATACGATAACAGTCAGGTGACTGCATAACAGCTATGCAATGATCACATGTGTGCTGAGTAATGCAATAATGCATTATCTGTTATACACGGTATCCACCGTTCTCCAGGGGAATTGCTTTTTGTCTTATCATCATCCAAATTCAAGTTATGCCCGCTTATCTCTCATGTAATTAAATGCATGACAACATACTTGATAGTTCGACAATGAATTTACTAATTGCTCAACTAACTATTGGCTTCCCCCATCCCTCAGTCCGGTTAAATCTCCGATCCCATGCGAACTCTATTTCATCCGGTGAACATGTCAATAGGATCTGCTATCTGAGCGCTTGGCTCTTTACCCAATGTGGATTTACGTAAAGGATCGTCTATCAGTGCCCCCAATTGCAAGGCTGAGAGTGATGTTTCTATGATCCAGCTGAGATCGGGGTGTTCGATCAGGGATTGAGGCTCGATGGGTCCTGTCTGTCCCTGTCCATGATCGATTCTCGGTTGCTGGCCGGGAAGCATCAAGACTGGCTAAGACTGCCTTCCCTTGCGATATTAGCTACGAACTTCACTAGTACCTGGGGATATGCGACCTGGATGCAGTGAAACGCTCTTCTAGACCTCCGAGAAGCAACTAGTCCTTCTATTGCTTGTTCTCAATTTCTGTCCGGCTATCGCGCATGCATCTTGTCCTTGGATGGCCAGGGTTGTGTCTGATTCGCCACCAGAATGAGGGCTACTTTGGTTCAACTGATAAGACGACGTTCCTTGACAGGCAGGCGCTTTCCAGCTGGTCCCAGATTCCGAACTATTGGATTCTAACTCTCCCATGCAGGTACGTTCTTCCCCAGAATGGGGAATGATCGATCGACTTCTCCACAGGGTCCCTCGCTTGCAGCGGTACCTGCAGGGGAACAAGGTGCCACAGACTATGACCGGGCGTCCTTTGTCCGGAGATCCTTCGGCTTAGATTTCCATACTGCAGCTTCCGGAAACCGGCCACAATTCTTAGTTTGCCCAGAATCGATCTATCCCAATGCGACTGGCTTTTGAGGCAATGTCCATCGGTCCTCTCAACCGAGTGTGACTGAACGAATGACTCGAGATAACCATCAGGCATCTGATTGGGAATTTCCATGGAACTATACAACTTTGACGTTCAGCTCAATGCCATGATTTGAATTTGATCCTTAGTAATTGACCTCTGCTCAAACCTATAAAGGACGCCTGACTTCCTCTACAATTCCTCCAACATCAGACAGAAGCTGAACACTAGAATACATAGACATTCTTCTACAATCCCAGCAACGCTCATTCTCCTGCATCTTTGCAAGTCCATCACCATCATCACAATGCAGTTCACCACCGCTCTCTCCATCCTGGCCATCGCCACCACCGCCGTGGCCGTCCCCGCCGCCCAGGACAACACCGCGTCTCTTGAGTCTCAGGTGAAGGAGGTGGCCGCTCAGCGAGGCACCTCTGATGGCACCATCAGCACCGTCACAGAGGCGCAGTGCGTTCCTCCCATTCTGTGCTGTGGCTCCCTGACCACCCCTCTTGACCCTCTTGTCGACCCTATTCTTCTGGACCTGGGCATCGATGCTTCCAACATTGTTGGCTCCATCGGTCTTCTTTGTACGTTACCAGCTACTCTACTTTTCAAAATTGGATGTCTGTTTACTAACGAGGATACAGGCAAGGACTACGACGACAGCTGCACGTCGGAACCTCAGTGCTGCACTGAGATCAACCTCTTGGTAAGTTTTCTCCTACGGAGGGATGATGTCAGGCTAACGACAGTGTAGAACGGTCTTCTGGCTCTCGGATGCTCTACCCTGGAGCAGTAAGTAGTTGGACCTATGGATTCAGGGCTAGTCTGTATGGAGGGGGCTGTACTATGATTTGATATTAATTTTGTCGGGCCTATTGAGTCCGCCTGTTAGCGATACTCAATTTAATAGCATATATGAACTTTCTTCTCAGCATTGCTTTTACTTTTAAACATAATTCGTAGAGGAATGGTGCATTAATGCTTAAGGATGAATAAAGAAAACATCACTCTGATCACATTTACTAGTCATCATTGTCACAGCAATCAAGCTTAATCCGTTCCCCGTCTACTATATGACAGTGACACAATTGTCTTCCCTCTATTGATATTTCTGAAGTCGTATTTCCAAGATATGGCAACATCAATCTCGAGTATACTAACCATCTATACACACTCCACTCTCCCAAAAAAAAAAAAGAACAAAAACCAAGGATATCATCTCTCACTCACAACGCCCTCCAATCACCCCTCCTCTCTACCAATAATCCACAACCAACCCCAACCCTCAGAGAGACAACCACTAATGCGTCTCCAAAACCTGCGTCCCCTCCACCACAGGCAAATACTCCCTCCTCGCCTTACACCAAAACTCGACCTCAGGCCTCCACTTCCTGCCCGCCTCCCCATCCATCGTGCCAGACGGCACAACCACAAACCCCTCGGCCCGACTACTCGTCACATACACGGGGGATCCACAGACGCGACAGAAGCGTCGTTCCAATGTACTTCCGGAGTCCACTTTCGTGTCTTTGAAGCTTTGGATGAGTGATTCGCCGGATTTGATGGTTAGTTGCTGACACGGCATTAGCTTAGAAGATTAAAAAGATGTGTTGATGAGAGGGAGATTGTGGGGAGGGAGTGGGACTAACAGATTCTTTCATAAAGCTGTTGGCCATGAAGCTGGACCCTGTGAATTTCCGGCAGTTTTCGCAGTGGCACATTACTCGTTTCATGGGTTCGCCGGTTACTTCGTATTGGATGCCGCCGCAGAGGCAGCTGCCGGTGATGGGTTCGGGGGTGGTGGGGGTGGATGAGGTTGAGGTGGTGAGATCCATGGTTATGGTTGTACTAGTGAGGGGTGGTTATTTAGGGTTGGATTAGATTGGATTGGATAGGAATAAATGTAGAATAGTACTGGGAATCGCGGTAGGTATATATGGAGAACGATGGAAGAAGTAGCTGACAAATAAGCTTACTAGCAAGTCTGGCTGATTAATGCTGACTTGAGTGCCATGGCGATTTTATTTCCGCTTTTATGGGGAATGGATAGAATAGATAGTAATATTCTACATGAGTCACTCACTGTATTTGTGTCAGATATAAGTCATATGGTATTCAATATATCTCATCCAGATCAATGGTTCAAGTAAAGCTTAGCAATGCTGCTATCGGATTCCATCAGCTTCGATAAAGCGCCGGATAAGCTGCCTTGATCATGTCCGCGCCCTAGCGTGGTTTCAGCATGTATTCTTCACCAAATGAATGTCTGGATTGGAGTAGTGACTCACCTTCTCTCCGATCATATACACAGCATTCTGAATCCGACAGTCAGGAATCAGAGGGATAATGGACGCATCCACGACGCGAAGATTCTGCATGCCGTGGACGCGCAGCTCCGGGTCCACCACGCCGTGTGCAATGTCCTTGGACAGTCGGGCCGTGCCGCAGGGGTCTATGACGTGAACATTAATTAGTTGCTGTGCGCGTCCATGCTGTGTGGCAGAGTATTAGCTTACGGTATCCCGTCTGCGACCGTTCCAAGATCATTTTGTTCATGGCTTCATCTGAGTGTCGGGGCATGGGCCACGGGTAGTCTTCGCCGAGGATCTCTTTCATTCCGTCCCCGGTCATGAGGATATCGTCCACGAAACGGACGCCCTCTCGCAAGGCTAGGACGTCAAGTTCATTAGAAAAGAAGTTCAGATTAATGTATGGCTGTTGGTGTGGATCGGCTGAGTTGAGCTTCACTTCTCCGTTTCTGGACAGCGGGCGGAGAAGATCGACGATGACGGTCAGCCAGTCGCCTTCGGGGGGAACAGGAAAGTGCCATTGGAAGGCGTCGGAGAACATTGGCTGCATTTATCAGATATTCTATTTCCCTCTTCCAACTCAAAAGGGAGGGTATTGACTTACCACAAAATCAATCTCAAAATGCGGCTGCCCCTCCGGTCCAAATGGATCCTTGCCACCATTCTGCGCCTTTGCCTCGCGATACTCCTTGTATCGCTCCAAACGGTCATCAATGCGCGGCAAGCCTACCATTTCCAATAATCCACTACTAAATGGACCCTTTTTGCTAGTGCGGTACTTTTGCAAAGCAGCGCTCTGCGCAGGACCAGCGCGGAGAAGATGACTATCGAGTCCTGTCCCATCTTTCAGACGAAACACATGGGCAAGAATAGGATGATCATGCAGATTCTGGCCAACATGTTCCGACTCCACGACCGAGTCAATACCATGACGAGCTAGCTCCTCTTTCGGGCCAATTCCCGAGAGCATCAGCAGCTTCGGTGTCTCGAAGACGCCGCACGCGACAATAATCTCATACTTGGCTGTGAAGGTCATTTCAGTCCGGTCGGCGCCACTGACAGTGACACTTGTTGCCCTGAGATTGTCATCGAAGTTGATCTTCTTCCCGATCGCAGAGCTCAAGATGGTCACATTTGGCTTATCAGCCAAATAAGATGCACTGGTCGACCGCATCCCACCGTAGATACTGTTGACACAGTGCGTCAGACCCTCCATCTTGCCGGAGTAGATGTCCTCACATGTCTTCTGGCCTTTGCTGGTCCATGCTTCGGTCAGGGCGTCGCGGAAGGTGTGTAGTTCCGGGACGAGGTCTGCGTGAGATACTTGCAGGGGACCGTTGCGGCCGATTTTTGATAGCTCTGAGGGGTAGAGGTTGTCGTCGTCGTGGTAGGTAGCGGGCTAGTCCAGCACATAATTAGTATATTCCCTCCATTCCTTGTTCATTCATGGCTTACCTTATTGAAATACTCCTCACACCCATCCCAACTCCAAGAAGGACCTCCATATTCGGCCCACGCATCGAACGTCCCCTTACTACCCCGGATCCAGGTATAGTAGTTCAAAGAGCTACTACCACCGAGCACCTTGCCCCGGGTGTTGGGCTTCTCTACCCGTTCATAGTAGGGTTGGTTGATCATGGTGGACTTGTACGCCCAGTCATATTGGCTGTCACGTAGCCCAAAGGCAGATGCTGGTGTGGTTATTTCTGAGATCTCGCTCGGGTTACTGGTTATGGTCAGATTAGCACAGTGATTGATGGTTGGTTGTCGAGAGGGCATACATACCTAACGCCTGCTTCAATGACCAGGACTCTCACGTCGGGATTCTCGGCCAGCCGACCTGCCACGACATTTCCAGCTGTGCCGCCTGCTTCCTGTCAGAGAGAATCATATAGAGTGGATTTGGAGAGAACACACCACCGACGACAACAAAATCAAAGCTATCTTCAACAGGAACAGTCATTGTTAATGAGCAGATAATCGAGATATGACCGGTGAACTAACCACTTGAATCAACTATTTTCTAGTACTATAGTATCTTAACACTACCACATCGGTAGTATTTATGCAGCCCAGATAGTACTGACCAAGGGTTATGTCAATATGCCGGTACTATTCAAATGTGTCGAGAATGACGTATACCGGCTACTCCACCACCAGCACGTAAGCCGCGCAGACAACTTATCTTGTAACTTCATGTCTTGGTACTAAGACATGCCGATCCCCGAGTTATTTCCGTCTTATCAATATTGTCAATGTGGAGTGTATGTAACTCGTCCCTGCTTTTCTTAGGCACTGAGAGTATGACAATGGAGTTGGTGGCTGATTGACCCACTCGTCTGCCGGACTAACGGCTGCTGAAGCTTGTTTTTCCTCGAGCCCTGTGGTGATCCGGTGGGACCAAGTCGGATGGATCGGATGCTGATGCTGGAGGGGGGAAGTGTCTGTGAAGCAAGCAGGTTGGGGATCTAACCTGTAGAAATACCCATCTAAGAGTACCTTGGTGGTGCTGATGGTAATCGAGGGTCCACTCAAGTATACTTTGGTATTCTGTGTAACCCCCTCGGCTACCTCTACGATGACTATCAGAAAATCTCTCTCAAAACGGTCAAATCCTTCGAAAGGGAACCAAGCAACTATCAAATCTCAGTTAGGTCACTACATATCAATCTTTCTTTCTTTCTCGACGAACATCTGACGGAGGACCGAGAGTACGAGGAGGAGATCGGTAACTCCGTCGCAGTTCATCCAGTACGCCATACTTCAATGTCACTGCCAACGATGCAAGACACAGCCAAGCAAAGTATGGCGCTGCCGGAGGGATAAAAAAACCGGTGATAATTGTAATGAGCCCGCAGCCGAAAAATGCAAGTGCACCACTCTTCTCACGTTTCCATGATCTGTGCAGATCGGCAGAGTCTCAGTTAAGGTTTCCGACATCATGTAGTACCACTTGCCGTGGCAATGATACAAAATTGAACCACGCATAGCAGGCACCTTCGTCCCTGTACCCTCTAATTATCAGCTTCCCCACTCCATCATCGATGGCCATTCTCTCTGCAATAGCGAAAGTCCTCTTTGCCGGAACCAGCAAGTGGAATATCACGTTATCTGCATTTTCCGGGTCTCTCTTTCGAAGCGACCGACGGTTTTGCCACATAAGAAGGAAAACAGCCTCGAGATCGGAGCACATCCCTCCAAATGAGGCTTGTAAGGGCCTCTTTTGGACCTGTGTCCTGAACTCTTCGTTGGCACTGGTTGTCGGATTGAAGACATAAAAGGCATGACGTCCATCGGCCTTTCCTCCGCCAACAGTCTTAGTTTCATTGTCGACGAACTTGTAGATGAAATATCCGAAGCCGTGGAACTTCCAGCCCTGGACCATTGGTGTCGTCTGATAGCTTGTCTCATCAGGAATGTCCTTGGGGTTTAATCCGATGGCCCGTAACTCCTTCGCTTTTGTCTGTATAGTAAGGGCCGTGGTCGACAGAGTACAGGTAGTAAAGACGGCGGTAATTCACGCCCAGCGTTGAAGGAGTTATTGAAAAGTCTGAACATTCGGGGTCCGCCTCTAGAGAAGCTGTTTATTGTTTTGTTAATGACCTGTTGGCTTTGATTATCCTGGTGGATTCCAGCTACGTACCCATCGGAGCTGTGTTGAATTTTGTACTCTTCACTGCCATCGGAACCGGTATTTGATACCACTTCTGGAAGATCTCCGGCAGCCGCTGCCAGATTGCGGAGTATCTGTATCATCGTCTGATCCGAGATGTCATTTGGATTATTTTTGACGGGCTGGGACGTTTCCGAAGGGTTCTGAGAAACGGCTCCAAGGATGCGCTGGGCTGTACGACCTGCAGATTCAGCGACACTATAAACTGGCTTGTTGAGGAGAATTGCAAGGGCTTGTATGAAGTTGTGCCATCCTACCGCAGCAGGATTCATAAGAGGCTTCAGGTCGTTGAAGAGTCTGACATAGGCTTCATCGCGAGAGGTGCCGGGATAGCGCTGCTGTATGAGGCATTCTATCCCTGTCGCATTCACGATGTTGGCAGACATCTAGCCAAGAGTTCAGTATGAAGCAAGTACAATGTTGGACATAGAAGGATTCAGCTGCGGTAAACTGTGGTGGTCACACAAGCGAGTCAGAACGTGGAAATCTCGATAATCAAGGGTCTAATACATGTAAGTCGAAAAACGTGTTATCTGAGAATGCGTGTCGATGTAGGGACAAAATCACCGATGTCGAAGAGATTACAAGAGTGAAAACGGAGGGAAAGTAGTATTGCTGCAGCGCAGCACCCCTCAGCACTTGGATTGAAGACATCCGGCCCAATAAATCAAGAGAGGGTGAGTGGCTTGGAACAGTAGATAATTATGGTTCAAGGCAGCAGCGGCAAGAAGCTCTGCATGGGATAGATCCAGTAGATGAATTGTGCTGTATATCGCTGATGCAAAGTAGCATGAGGTGGGAGGTCAGAGGTCTGCTATTGAGGAACACGACCTCGTTGGTTAGTCTCCATCACCCCTGCTTGAGAGACTCTCTTGCTGCATCCTAGGTTATCGTATGTGGCTGTACTTTCTCATGGAGGTAGATCATTCCATAAGAATTACATATCATAGTCGTCACTTCCCTTTTTGCTTTCCCTCGTTTGTCCGACTGCGTAAGAGACTTCCGCACCCATGATCGCCTGAGAAACTTATTTCTGCCCTAATTAGGTCCCGTGCCAGGCAGCTAGGGGCTACTAGTGTTAGCAAAGATGTAAGTTCATCAAAACGATAGGGAGAGGAAAATAGGCTACCAGGTATAGGTGACAGTATTATGACTGTCGCATCTTCGAACATCACGGATCATGGCTAGTATCAGAGATGTTTAAGAAGACGAAGAAGATAGACTTCACTATTAATCTGCAGTAGTCTCATATATCCTAGGCGGAAGACAAAAATACAAAAAATTGGAGCTGCGGGGAATCGAACCCCGGACCTCTCCCATGCTAAGGGAATATTATACCACTAAACCACAGCCCCATTTGTTGAACAACAGGTCCACTATTTTGCCTTACATTCCAAACCTACGCTTATACCAACTTTTCTATGACAACTAGACCATCTTTGTTCAATAGTAATGCCAATTATAGCTATGGTATCACTTGCAGTTAAAATGATTCTTAGTTTCTCCTCATAAACCGTATCAAGAGGACAGATAGTGCTCTTGAATATGGTTTTCATTCTTTCTTGTCGACCAGACTAAGTACCGTCGAAGTTCATTCACCTTGCCCTCCAAAAATATATAACCTCCACCCAGACATCAATATACTAGTACATCCACTGGTCAATCAACCCACAGTATGTAACCGCTGTCTCATCCCTGCCACCCATCAACCAGCCCAACAACCCTATCCTCCTCTACCTGAATACTATCATCATCCTCCAACGCGTCCCCATCCTCACCCTCACCCTCACCCTCAAACACCGTCCAATTCCCAACTCCAGTCCGATAAACCACCTCCCCAATCTCCAACCCACCCGGCGCAAACACCACCATCTCACTCTCCAATCTATAAAACTCACTTCCTTCCTCAGCCTCAACATCCCTCCTCGCAGGCCCCCTCTTCGTATACTCATTCCCATCATTCGTGCAATTCGGCCTACTCTTACAATACTGCAACCGACTGGCATTCGTAAAAGAAACACTAAACCGACACGGTGCGGTCCCATTACATCCTTTCCCTTGGAACTGTCCGCGCGAGTTGTAGAAGTTGCGGAGGACTTGGCCTTGGGCTGCGTACCGATACCATTAACTCGTTAGCTCAGGATACCTAGATAGTTAAGGGATCATTGGCGGGTAAGGTAGGGTGGGTTCAAACGTGCCATTATTATACCGAGCTAGAACACAGCGATTTACTTGCCCGCCTCTGTCGGACTCCCTCACAGATCTAAACGGGTACTCGTCGCATTGGTAGCCTCTGCCGTAGGGGGATTTGCTGCACCGGTTGGAACTACCACAGCCGGCTTCGCGACTGCGGCGGTCGGAGACTTGTCGGCTGGGCTTGTCCCAAGTTAGGGTGGTGCCGACACGTTTGCATTTGGTGCCTGGTGTGGTTAGCGGGGATTTATGTTGGTGAAGGTATGTTGGGGGTAAGGGGTACCGAAGCACATGTTTTGACATACGTCTAGTTAAATAGAGTTAGTATATGATGTATTGGAATGCAGTGAATAGAAAGGAGAGGATGGTTTACCGCCGACATGGGAGTTGTCGCAGTTGAAGGCTACACTTACTGCCGAAGAGAGGGTAATGAAGGCTAGAAAGCCAAGGAAGAGGAAGATTTGCTTCATGGTGCTCTGGAATGATGCTCAAAGGCTTATGTATAGAGATTTGAGGGTTGGTAGGCTTCATATTGGAGGCTTTATACTGCCAATGCTCGGAAGGGTGGATATTGGTAGTTGTACTGTGTGTATGATAAGCTTCAAGAACTGAGGGCATTCGTTGTACCGTGGCCATCTTGACTGAGACATTGTAGTTGGCTTAAGAGGCCTGTGGCACAATGTTAATTTGCATTGATCTGCTGATCATTCAACTGCGCCGAGATTGAGACAAGGGGTTGTGTAGCTACCGTCACAGGCTCAAGTGTGTAGATGAAGACAGGATAGCCATGGGGAAGAGAAGAGGGATGAAAAGAGGGGAAGTGGTCCGAAATGGGGCTCTTACAGTGAGTATAGCCTCTCAGTCTTACAAGGGTCTGAGAAGGTGGCTTCATGTAGTGGTCGTGTGAGGTTGATAATGATATGGAGAATAGTAAATTCAGCCAATAGTAGATAATATCACGTCACACGCTTCAATATTGTACGAGATGAATATAGAGAAGAAAAAAAAAAAGAGATAGTAATTTTGTAGCACAACATCTAAGCTATTCATCCATGCCAGCGTTCACTCCATGCCCCATTTCCCAATTGAACTTGCTGGAAGAGGGGCTCTCATCACCGAAATTCAAGCTTGACAAGAGGATATTAGCATTGTCGATGTGGAAAAAGAATTTGTCCATGGGGCATTCTTTCTCCTCAACATCCGCGTACACCAACAAGAGTCCTTTCTCTTCCCACTCGCGAGTGGTGACAACAACAAAAGCTGTGGGGTACCAATGAACGTCGCCTTCGGCACCGCCATCATCACGCGGAGTAAATTCCTTGTCCAGCTCAACGTGAGCCTGGACGACATCTCGGAGGCTTTTCCCTCTGAAGTCGTACACGGTAGGGGTGCGAACAAGAGGCATCGCTTCATCGGTCATCTCCCGCTTCCAGTCCCGGTTCAGAGCGGTGATCAGCTTATCCAGTTCTTCGGAAGACAATTCAATCATGGAATAGAGAGCAAAGGAGGCATCATCCCAGTTGGCATCGCTGCCTTGCTGAAGTTCCGGACAGGTCGAAGGGAGGGTGAGATCAAGGTGGGCATCCATGGCTGGGAACGATGCTTAGCTAGAAAGGCGTGAGCACATGGTAGGATTTGGAGAGTCATCAGAAGGATGCGGCTTACTTGTTGACGGGAAAGATTGTGAGATGTAGCAGATTTTTCAATGAAGCGATCATATCCTGCAGGGGAAAGAAGAAAGGATCGAGATGCTGGATGAAATGAGGTTGCACAGAAGAATAAATAGGAGGGGAAAGGGGAGGGGAAGGGGGCTGAAGCTTCCCGACTGATCTTTATAGCAGCCGAGCGGTTGATGCCACTCTGACGCAGGCAACACCAATGCCACCTCCCTAAAGTGAATGCCAGAGTTACATTTCACCCGCTCAGTGTCTTTGGATGACAGGGTCTGTACTCAGGAGACACTTTGTCAGTTGGAGTCTCTCTTAGTACTGTTGTACAGACTCGAAGCAATATCCGGTATTCCGCTCACGGTCTATGGAGAATCGAATCTCATTCGCGGAGTCTGTACTTTCATCCACGTGTCAAGTGGCGCAGCCAAATTGAGCAAGGTTCTCACTGCAATCTCGCCTCGTTGAGGTTTCACAAGTCTCCAAGGCTGGAAGCAATGACTGACCGACTGCCGCATCCGTTGCGAGCCAACAGCTCGGCCAAGTCCATTCACTTGAGACCAGAATTTACCTCCTGCATCATGTCCCTGTCAATCTGGGGTCCCTGAAATGCTACCCTTCCTAGTCCATACCACAACAGGATCACAAGGCCAAATAGACCAATTAGCACGGGAGCCGTATAATTCATCGACTCGGCTTCTACCGGTAACCCAAGAGGCAGGCAGACAAACACTCCAAGTATAACAATCCACAAAATGACAAAGGCATTGCAGAGATAGCCGAGGCAGCCAAGCTTTAAGTATCGAAATGGTAGTGCGCCCGCTCTGCCTTTCATTAAAAGTATGCCCTGAGGCACCACGTAAGTTATGTGGAGGAAGAGTATCGCACTGTTGGTGATCGTGTTGAAAGCGCCCGAGGAAACCAAGTATAACAGACTATAGATAGCAACAAAGCCAAAGCTAGCAACTGTGGTGCGAACAGGGAACTTTAGCTTGTCGTCGACTTTAGCGAAGTATCTTGCTGACGGGGAGTTAATCTAGTCTTGTCAGGTTGAAGTCATCGGCGTGTCATACAGACGCTTACATCGCGAGCTAAAGCCCATGCTACTCTGCCGCACGTCACCCATTGAGACGGGATTGAGGCTATAGCTTGGCAGTTAGCTAAACTGGCGCGTGCAAACGTGTCTTTCGGACTTACCAGCATAGACAACCAAGAGCCACACTGAGAGGAAGGTAGTAACGCCTTTGCTCTTTGTGCTGAATATAGCAGTTAGGACTAGTTTGACATAGAGGTCGACTCGGTAATACATACGCCTGATACAACACTTCCAAGCTTGGCAGTTCCGAATTGATAACCGCTTCCATATCGGACATGCAAAACATCAGTGCAACCGACAATGGAAGACAGGTAGCGAGACTCAGAATAACACTCATGGTCATGGCCTGAGGGACACGCTTCTCTGGTTGAGGGAGCTCTTCGCTAATGTGGATAGCTGGGCATCATCGGTCGGTCAGTACGCGACAGGGAGTAGTGAAGCTCACTGATACAGACGTACCAGCATCAATTCCTGTCATAGAATACATCGTATTCATTATGCCCAGCATCCACGCAGTACCTTCGTTCCAGCCAGATGTTCCATACCCTCTTTGCAACAGGAATGACACTGGTTGTTTTTCCTGGCACATACCAAGTGAGATAGTGATAATGAGGGCCATGCCCGTAAGAGATAGAAAGAGGGCCATCTGAACCGTCCAGTTGACTTTACTCGGAGCCAAGAATATCGGTGTCACTAGTGGATTAGCTACTCTGAGTTGCCATTTTGGACGATGATTCTCACACGTGAGCAGAGATATAGCAATATATACCAGGTATATATGCCACTGCGCGGCTGTATATTCTGTGTGCCAAAATTTGACTATACCCGCAAGGGAGGCCGTAACCATCTGGACACTGGAAGATCTGCAACGATCATCAGGGCCTTGTCGATCGACAGATCTGGGGCGATGCAACCCACGTCACTATCCACCATGCTAAGACAGACATACATCCGACCACGAACGCTGAGAATCTCTTCGACTTGGTCGGACTGAGCATGTAGCAAAAATAATACTGACCTCCGCTTGACTAGTCCTGTGAGCCATGCGATCAAAACAAAGCTCAAGGATGCAGTTGCAGAGAGCATACCGGAAAGGCCGATGCCAGCTCACTGAGCCCGAGAATTACAATGATCTGAACGACAAAAGCGCAGATAGACCCAAATATTACTAATCGAGGACCGCCGTAAGCCAGGATCTGGCCAAAGTTGCTCTGCATACGATGGACGCATCAGAAGTTGTCTCTGACGCTCTGGCATAGATGCTTACCATGTATCCTGCCCAGGAATTCGTGATTGAGAAAGATATTCCAAGAGTTGAAAGCCAATTGAACTGGCGCGGCATTCCATCCCCGTTAATTTCAGGGGTGACACCGCCGTCCAAATCGAGAATGCCGATTTCGCCATCTTGGATGCTTTCGAGGCTCACGATGGTACCTTTTCGATCCAAATCCGCTGTCATTTTCATTATATAGGGCTTTCAAAGCCTAACAAACTCTGTCGAGCCCTATATTGACAGTTTAATAGTCCGAGCTTTTAACCTTGTGAAATTGGCATCGGTCTTTAAGAACTGTCGCATCTCTACAAGGTGAAGCAAGGGGCCTGTTCAACTGATCGTGCTTACCCTACCCTTGCTTTGGAAAAATGGGCCTGGACTGCTTTTCCTACAAGAAAGTCGCTGTCTGTCGCTCTTGTACAACATGACTCGCGTGGAGGGTAATCATTCACATAGTTCTGGTAGAGTTGGGTCCATGACAGCCAGCGTTCGGTCTATCATTAGATTGAAGACAGCGAATGCACGGAACAGGATAGCCGCACCCTACTTTACGGGCGAACTACACCGACTTCATAGCCAAGCCATGCCAAAATCCCTGAGCAAGCGGCCAAGGATTCTTCAAACATCTTTGCCTTGTCGCCTACGGTTCCAGCAGCTTCCAAGGTCTAGATTTTGACTTTAGAAGCGGACAACCTTACATCCTTCTGCAGGTGTATCATTGCTTTCATTCTTGGTTTCTCAACATCCGCCATGTCACCCAATAGAATCCGCGGCATATTATTTCCCTCGTCCGCCACCCTCACAGCCGGTCGCGGTGGCACAGCTGAGGGTTTCGCGCTATGCTCTTTCACATCCCAAAGATGCGTACAGTCCTTTGAGATGCCTACCTTGACATGGTCATTCTCATTAGCCGCAGACGCTCGATTGGAGAGATCAAGACTCGAGACTTCTACCATCTATCATCTGTATGTTGTAAAAGACATCTCCATTAGTTGTCAACCCACCTAAGAGCATCGGAACCGCTTGTGTTCGAAAATGGCACTTTCATAACTGACACTGGCGTGCTAGGAATCCGCCACAACGAAACAAGCCCCAACTTTCTATGCTAGCATTTGCGCCACAGGGAGAAATGAAAGAAAACAAGATAGGCCCGCCTACCCCCGACAGGCATGTCTCACTCACGTATGCATATACGCCATGTACAAGATCACATTTGGCACAAAAGACTGCCTTTTATTCCAGGCTTCCGACTCTTCAGAGTTGTGACATCAACCCTTCGTGGAGACTTATCCATGACATTAAATTTGTGAGACCATCCGTGATAGCATGGTTCTTTTACTTATCAATATTACCACGAATGACATCTCGATACTGTGAACATGATTACATGCTATACGATCCATCATTTCAGCCTCGATGGATTTTTTCCACCACTGAAGATGTTCATAGTTTTCCTGCTATATCTTCGATCCTTCTAACAACGGGGCAACATGAACGTTGGACAAATCACGATCCTTTGAAACGACTCAGAGGTAGTTGATAGGTTACGAGGGTCTTCCTTAAACACATTCTATAGCTTCATGGCCATTCTTCGCCTCTCCGTTGGAACAATCAATCACCTCATGAAGCCCTGGCGGAACAAGTGACCTTCAGCTCACGGCCCCCTGCGGCTCAGCCCTGCGTAGGTTAACTAGTTATCTACCTACCTTCGAAGTTCTTAGTCAGATGTAGAAATCTCGCGGCCTAAACTAACTAGGATCCATGTAACCCTTTCCAGGCATCCATCATCAATCATATAGACAATAGCTAAGCATCTTATATGCTATCAGAGTCCCAATAGGCAACAACATATTCGCTCCCTTGCTTTATCAATCTAACCTTATCTTCCTCCCCTCCTTCTACTAGTTACTTTGTATGTATCCAACCCACAACAATGACCTCAATATCAACATCCACCCTCCCCACCATCACCCGCTCCACCTTCATCAACAGCACTTTCACCGATCTCACCCCATCCGATACCATCACCCGCAGCCATCTCCGCGACGTAACTATCACCTGCTCCGGCAGCAGAACCCCCACCAGCCTTCTCCGCTCCGCCCTAACATCCTGCATCGTCAAGCACTCATCCACTTACCGCTCCAAGCTAAACCACACCACCCTCACTAACGCCATTGTCTCCCGCACCGAAGCCACGCATACCTCTTTCGACATCTATACTTACTCGCACCGGAGCACCCTTTCCAATGCGATTCTCCGCGATCGCGCCTCTGTCAAGCGCAGCAAGGTGAAAGATACTAGTTTGTTGGGCGGGAGTTCTCTCTGGCGGAGTAATGTGTCCAAGTGTATGATTGCGGATGGGTGTCGGGTGCAGCGGCGCAAATTGGTGGATTGTGAGGTGATGTGTTGTGTGCTGGTGAAGACGGATCTGGAGGGGATGGTGGTTAGGAATGGGGTTTGGAAGGATGGGGTGTTGGTGGGGAGGGTTAGGGAGGGGGAGGAGGTGGTGGTGTTGAAGAAGGGGGGTCAGGGGGTAAGTTTCTTTTTGTCTGTTCTTGTTTATGTAGTCTGATTTGGAGGGTTTGGCTGATTGTTGGTGTGCAGAAGATGCAGATTCCTGTTAATGAGAAGAAGTTGGATAGTAAGGATGTGAAGTATTGGTTGGAGGAAGAGAGCTCGGACGAAGAGGGGGCGAGGGAGATGTCGCCGCCGCCGGCGTATACGGCGTAGAGGTTGACGTTGGAAGCCCATATTGTGGTAATTCGTTGTATATAGTACTGTCCCATGGGTTCTACTGGTAACTTTTACGCTCTTTGAAGTCTTGCTGGCATACACTATTGCAACGGAGTGCTAGACCGGTTGGTGGACAACGATCGCTCCAGGCAGTTGGCGAGAAAACACCATTCGCCAGGTGGGTCTAGGATCTATGGATGATGTTGCCATAGTCAGGCATTGTCAAGCAAACAGTCATAGCTAATCAGGTTAAAAGAATTGATACGTTGTGGAAAGTAGTGACTTTCGTTTAAAACCCTGCAGGATTGAAATGCTCCGCTATACGGGTCTCGGTTCACTGTCAAATGCGCTTGACATGGTAGGTGCGTCAGGTCTTGACCTAAATACCACTAAATACCAAATGAAGGGAAAAAGATGTACCAATCACTCTAAGCCGGAAATATCGGGAGTGATTCCGGTATCTTCGGTTGAGATAGTCCGAAATGTATCCGATCTAAGTGTGAAACAAAATTCAGAGCGAAGGAGCTTCTTTGGTGAAATTGGCGACAGTGGATCCAGTCATGTATAGTGCGCAAGCCATAATCTCCGGGACATTGAGCGATTTAGATCTGCTCCGTTATCCGAAACGTTACTTTTGGCTTACTTGGACCCTCGTCATGCTGATTCGTCAAGATGCATATCGCAGTCAGCCCTTCGAAAGGCCGTCCGGATACCAGATTTGTCCCAGGTCTACATGAGTGGTCAGTATACCCAATGGGCACTCTGTAGGCATCCCAAACAGACCCTAAAACACTTCATTTCGCAAAATGAATCCTTGTCTAGCCGGTCGGCTGCTCGCCAAAATAGAATATAGTTGCATGGCTAGCGCACTGACGGTCGCCCATGGCGTACTAGCCGCCGCATTAGTCTTTGGGCTTAGTGCCAAAAATTTCTTTCTTCCGAGTCATGATGTTGCACACACAAAAAAGACGCTGCTGTATTTGCCGTCTTGTGTAAGTCATCAGAGAATGAACTGGCGCAGCATGTTGATACGAGACAGTAGAAAAAGAAAGTCATATTCTAGCAAAACCAGGGCGATCACTTTAAGGAGTCACGGGAGATCGTAGCGGCGTACCGATTATATATAGCAGCAGTTCAGGAGAGAGTGGAGAAACCACTGTGGAGTGGGTACCACGTACCTTTGTACCTCGATGATGTCGGCAGCTGCAAGCACCAAGTTTGGGTAGTGCATGTGGCAGACAGACAGGTTTAGAATCTGCCAGCAGAATGTCTTTTGCATTTTGCAGGCACTACGTATCAATTTAATGCATTCAACGATGATGAAAACATCTCTATTGAGTAGGAACCATCAAGATAGATGGACAAGAGATGAGAATTGTAGGCAGTAGGCAGGGAGTAGTGGAGACGGAATGATGATAAGGCTGGCCGCTAAACCCCGCCGAGGCCGGATGGGCGCCTGAGGCCGGAGCAGCAACTAAGCAACTAACGCCACTTTCGTTCCGGTCGGCCTTCCGCCGGGACTCTGCCATTTCTCTCCACTTTGTCGCTCCAAGGAAATCCGCGTCACTCTTTCTTTCTCCCTCATTTCCTCCATGACTTATTTATCGCCTGGTCTTCTTTCCTATCCTCTTCTCTCCTCCTCCTCTTCTCCCGCTTAGTCGCGCTCCCTCCTAGGTCATCCTCGGTGTACTGTTCGGCGGACTTTGGCATATGAACGACTACAACCACGCTTAGATTGGAAGTCTGCCGTCATCCGTCCCTTTTCTTCCTTCATTTTCGCGCCACTGAGCGCAAGGCCTCAACCATCATGGGTCTCTCCAAGACAAACAGGATCTTGATCCTGTTGGCGATTGATACGGCTTTCTTCTTATTGGAATTGATTGCTGGTTCGTGTCCATACCATTATATGCTCCCAGGCGTCTCTCAACGATACTTCTTCGCGCAGGTTATTCCGTGCACTCCCTTGCCCTGGTTGCCGACTCGTTTCACATGGTACGCCCCATCTCGTCGTCTTACCGGAATACCCTAAGGATAGCATGATTCTGACAGTATTGGCACAGCTGAATGATGTACTGTCACTATGTGTGGGCCTCTGGGCTGTCAAGGTCGCCAACCGCGAAACCAACTCAAAAATGTACACCTACGGGGTAAGCTTGTCTCGATCCTACAGGTCCACCTCTCATCCTGACGGTTGGTTCTTTAGTGGCAACGCGCAGAAACTCTGGGTGCTCTAGTGAATGGTGTCTTCCTGGTCGCTCTGTGTCTATCGATTTTCCTGGAAGCTATACAACGACTAGTTGAGCCTCAGGAAGTGAAGAACCCGAAATTCGTTTGCATCGTTGGATGCCTCGGCTTGCTGTCGAACATAATTGGTCTTGTTCTATTCCATGATCACTCCCACGGGCACGGGCACAGTCATGGCCCTGGAGATCTGGAAGAAGGCGCTGATGACCATGTACATGCTGCGGGCCATGACCACGATCATGACCACGTGCACGCAGATGGCCAGAACAACGTTAGTGGACTCATCTCTACCAGGTCTATGTAGCTGACACAAGTGGACCAAGCAGACTGGTGGTGCCGAGCCACACTCTCCCTATTCGCGTCCCCGGCGCACAGTCGACAGTCGCTACAGTGGATATGTTGACGTGGAAGACATCCAGATTCACCCCGCTAGTATGAGACAGGAGATTATCGCAGCCAGTAAGAACCGTTATGATGATGAACAGTCCGGCTCGGACAGCGAACTTCAAGAGGGCGCCGATGGCCAGCCATCTGAGCGCTCAGCCCTCCTTAGTCACGGCGGTCGCACTGGTAAATATACCGATGAGACGGAGTCACTTGGTCGGTCCCGGACTGCTGCTGCCGATGATGATCTCCACAAATTCCACAATCATGCTCAACCAAAGCCCAAAGACGAAAAGCATGGCCATGGTCATGGCCATGACCTTAACATGCGGGGCGTCTTTCTTCATGTGATGGGCGATGCACTGGGTAACATCGGTGTCATCGCTTCTGCGCTCATCATCTGGCTGACCGATTATTCTTGGCGATTCTACGTGGATCCTGGGATTTCGCTTGTTATCACTGTGATTATTCTGCTTTCCGCAGTTCCCCTATGCAAGGCTGCATCGCGTATTCTCTTGCAGGCAGCGCCCCACGGCCTCAGCATCGACCATATCAAGGAGGACATCGAAGGACTTCCGGGCGTCATCGGCTCCCACCACCTACACGTATGGCAGCTGAGCGACACCAAGCTAGTCGCCTCTATTCACATCCAGGTGGACACGGAGATCAAGGGTGAAGGCTCAGAGCGCTATATGCGTCTGGCCAGGCAAGTGAGGAAGTGCTTGCACGCTTATGGGATCCATTCTTCGACGATTCAGCCTGAATTTGCGCCCGATAGTGACGCTGAGGATACGATCATGGCCCCCTCGGACTACCGTGGCGGTAGTAACGGAGCCTCCGCCTCGGGGACTCTTCCCAGTCGAACACCCAGTGTACCTGATGGTGACTCGCAGGCGTGCCTCCTGGAATGTGGCGAGGAGTGTGCCCGGGGTGGCCAGTGTTGCCCCAAGCAATCACCGTGAGGTGATCCGATAAAAATTTACCCTGTCCTATGATCTTTTTTTCCTACACCTTCCTTACAACCTCACCATATTAATTTTCCTTTCTGTTCAACATACCCCATTATTTGTATGACTGGAACCTATGTGTTTGGACTGGCCGTTGTTGACATTGCATCTCAGGTCAACTTGGTGCATGTTGGGTGGACTTCCTAGATGGCTGCATGTGATGAGACTTGTCAATGACAAGCGTAATTGCATTCTTTACACTTTTCTTATTCTTCTCGTATTTTTTAGCAATGACATTGCATGTGATCTGAATCCGTCGTCTTCGCTTCCAAGTAGTATTTCCCCTGAATTATGGACCTGAGTGGAGTGTGGTGGCGGAGTTTTGGCTGCCAAGTGTTTCTCAGACCCTGAAGATTGAGGCCTGGGGCCAAATCGGGGACAAATGTCTCAAAAGCGTCGCGCCCAGCCGCAGCACACGTGACGTGTCTCCATCCGTCAATCGGCGGCGATCCCCCTTGGACCATCCATTCCCACATCGTCATGCACTGACTCTCATTCCTTCATTCTTATATCTAATCTCAAGCTGACCAGTCGCTCGTTTATTGTATTCCTTACAATTGTTGATGCTCCCCAAAGCATGACCTCCGGTTCGGTCAACTGCTAGCTGCCCGCCTCTCGTGTGTCAGCCTCGGTACCGCAATGCAGCAGAGCTGCGCTCGACCATCCATAGGTTGAAACAACGAAGATGAGCTATTCATACTCGCACAACGCCATTTCCGACTCTTATCGTCCTGCTCGACCAGGATCTCCCGCGTGGTCCTCGGGTTCGTCGGAGCGGGATCAATCACCGCCGCCATGGCCGAAACGGTGGGCTTCGGATCTACGCGAGGCGACAAGTACTAAGCATGGGATATTGTCGTTATTCAAGCAGGTCGCTAGATATGTCTTCACCATCTCGAACGCTTTGGTTGCTCTATGGATCTGTACATTATGGTGGGGCGAACGAACTGTCTTTCAGGACAGCGTGAAAGCATGCAACTGGGGTAATTGGGAGAGATGGGTAGGTGGTCGACGTTGGAATCTGTCCCTTTCTTTCTTCCGCTAACTCATCATGTTTGCTCGATACAGCCCCAAGATGCAATTCCACATCATGTCGCCTTCATTGCCGATCCACAACTAGTCGATCCTCATACCTATCCCGGCCGGCCATGGCCTCTTTCGACGTTGACCGTCAAATTCACCGATCAATACCTTCGGAGATCCTTCTCGTCCATTCAGAACGAATTAGGTCCAGATTCCGTGTTGTTTCTGGGTGACCTTTTTGACGGGGGCAGGGAATGGGCTACGGCATCCAGTTCCAGCCCGGAGAAACGCTACAAGAAATACAAGGACCGATTTTGGAAGAAAGAGTTCCATCGGTTCGTGAAAATATTCGTGGATACATGGAAAGACGGTGATGATCACATACGTCATCCGCTTGGACGGAGGCTGATCACTAGCTTGCCTGGAAATCACGATCTGGGTTTTGGCTCGGGTGTCCAGATCCCGGTGCGCGATAGGTTTCAAAGCTTCTTTGGCAAAAGCAATCGCGTTGATGTCATTGGGAATCATACTTTTATCTCTGTTGACACCGTGTCGCTGAGCGCCATGGACCAGCCGGACCCGGAGACAGGCAGCTCGGGCACGGGCTCGGGCGATGGAGAACAGCCAAACGAACACATTTGGAGAGATACCCAGGATTTCCTCGATCGCATGAACGTACATCGGGGTAGGGCGGAAGTTGAGGCATTGCGCATGCTCGCCAATAAGACTGAGGGCCGTCAGTTTCAGCATCGGGCTGTTGATATCTTGGAACCGTCCGTCGACCCGCAGCTCAAACCGGAGGTTGCGGGGTTTCCCACGATCCTTCTTTCTCACGTACCTTTATATCGCCGACCGGCCACGCCGTGCGGACCCTATCGCGAACATTATCCGCCCAGTGGCGAGGGTTTGGAGGAGGATGACCGGAACGCTATTCCAATGGGTCGGGGTTATCAATATCAAAATGTTTTGACCCCGGCCATCTCTCGGGATATCGTCTCAAAGGTCGGGCCTAATTTGGTCCAGATGTATTCCGGGGATGACCACGATTACTGCGAGATCTCTCACCACGAGTTTAGCGGGTCTCCCAAGGAGATTACGGTGAAGAGCCTTTCATGGGCCATGGGAATTCGGCAACCGGGCTTTGTACTCACCAGCTTGTGGAATCCTCTTGATCTGGCCACTGGTGAACCGGATGGGACCTTTAATGCCGGTCGCACAGTTCAGAACCACCTGTGTCTGCTCCCGGACCAATTATCCGTCTTCATCTATTACGGGATAATTCTTGGTTTCACCCTGTGCGTCCTCCTTGTGCGCGCTGCGATCGTTGTAAAATATCTCCCATCCGGGACGAGTCCCGACGAGCCCATTCTACCCTTGTCAGAACATCGCCCCCCGCCCCCGCAGCGCGCGGCCCGCTACAAGACCCCATCTTCTGGTACGTCTAGCTCCACGTTCCCGTCGCCTCGCGGGCTGGCCAGCCGTGCGGTGAACGCACCTCCCATACACGCTGCTTACGCGGGCTCAGATGAGGACAAAGTGGGCAGCGCCAAGTGGAAGCCATCGCGTGGCGGGCCACGACGGCCGGGGGCTAGCGCTTCCCAGGTGACCCTGGTGAAGGAGGAATTCCTTACATCGGTCATGGGAGTGGCCAGAATTGCGTTATGTTGGTATTTCTTCCTTGTCTGGCGATGGTAAGCGACTGTGGTTTTTTCGGTTTCGCTGCTTGGGTAAATATTGTCTGTACATAGATCTCTGGCCCTTCCATATTGTAACTTTGGGCAGGCGTGCATGGTTGAATGGCGTCTTCTGGTGGTGGGGAACAAAAAACAACTATATCATAGGTACTAGGTATATGTATAATGGTACTGGGGTGGCTGGTTTTGTTTCTTATCCAGCCCTATCAGCAACATTGGTGACTTGTTTGTAGAACAGTCCACTGTTGCTACTACTAGTATATATGTTACGCGCACTATGATTGAGAGTACTAGTGGTAGTACTAGTATATATTTTTATTAGGGTCACCCACTATTCTTATCGTTTGTAGTGCTGGTACTCGATTGGGTAAGGATCAGTCCAAGTGAGTGAAACGCACGTCTACAAGACTTTTTGACTCTACTGTTCAAACGATGGATGCAGCATATTAAGGATCAGCAAAGGCGAGTAGAGCGTGGTCTAGTACTTACAGACACCGAGACATTGTTTCCACACGGCAGCTCTTTGCTGGTTTGTATAGTCAATGGTGGGATAATATTTCCCATCACATCCGATATGGTGTAACGGCTAACATCGCCGCCTTTCAAACCGAAAGACTTGACCGCGGCAGCTCGGGGTTCGATTCCCCGTATCGGAGATGTCCATTTCTTTTTCAAACAATTTTTTTTTTTTTTGATACACTATTTCTTCTCTTGTCACTTTTTGCATCATGATGTAATTTATTTATCCAATCAATCATACAAAAGAGAATATCATGGGCTGGCTATCTGCAAGCCATACGAAAAGATGATGTCCATGGATGATAGACAGCATCCACGGTCGATCCCTTCCCGGCCAGGCCAGGTGACCAACTCTAACCCGAATAGACTTTGGGAACCAGACCCTCAGCGTCGCACCCTCAGCAATCAACCCATTTCTCGCTTGCGCAATTCCACTAAGTACTAAGACCAGGTGCGGGCATATCTCGGGGATTCATCCCTACAGGGCCAATCACACGAGCACTAACGCACTAAATTAAGCATCCTGGTGGCGGCCTGCTCAGCTCAAACCAAATTGCCCTCACAACCCATGCGATTGGGATGGAAAGGAAACGCCCAGGCTCTAATCTGTTGACTGCCCAAGCCTAAAGCGGCTCCGGTGAGAAGAAAGTGTGAACCTGAATTCAATTGTTGACTGGGGAGAAAGCAAATCCATGGTTGCCACCCACGGGCAAAGCGTGGCTGAGCCCGTTGAATGGCCGGAGCTCGACTGGAATTTTCGGTTCGGGTCCCCAGGAACCCCGGACTCACCAGGACAACACAGGGACGGGCAGCCCTCAGGGTCTGCTCATCAAAATCCGTGTGTCAAGGAACCGTGTATATTTCCTATTGTGCGCTAGGTGATTTAGATCCCCAGCCGGAAATAGAGACGGGCAAAACAAGTGGGAGATCTGGCCCGCCGGCCACGCGAGTCTGGCTGGCCGTTCCCGGCCTCTTTTCCACATCTTTCTGTCTGCACCAGCCGCGTCTGGCCTCATCTCCGCGCCTCTTTCTAGACCTCTCTAGATCCAAACCACCCGCTTCCAATTACACTGGCTGCAATGGCTCGCGTGCGATATCCCGATTCTCTACTGACCGACCATGATCGTGGCTGAGACCGGTCTGGGGACCCGTGGATGATCGGGATGATCTCGGCCAAATGCCTCAATTTGACTTTTGTCCGCGCCGTCATAGTCAATCCTCGGCACCCCCATGCTCTCGCTCTCTCAGCCAGTCTCTTGAATCTATAGCTTCATGTTGGCTTGGCTTGTCTCGGACTCGGCCATTGAGTGGTTTCCTCGTGTTTTTCCCCCCACTCATGGCGCGTCGGCCCAACGTTCTTCTCCAGACTCGGCTCACACACTCGCAATGAGACTGCGGAGTCTGGGGCCCCGTTCTCTCTCCTAGCCCGATTCCGTGGTCAGTGGCGTGCAGAGACTGACTGATTCCGGCCGGTCTGGTTGTCGGTCTGCCGGATCTGGGGACGAATCTGCCTGCTTGCTGCCATCCCCGCGTCCCGCTCCAAATACTACATAAAGGCCTCCTTGGCCCGGGTCTGGGGTAATGGATCTCTCATCATCTTACCTTCTCCGGCTCAATTGACTCTTACGCACTGCTCACTGCTAACTGCTACATCGCTCACCTAATATTCGCCTGACCCCACATCTCCTACCTTCAGTCGATTGCTCTGCCTTTGGTCTCCCAAATCTTACTATGGGTTTCTTGTTGAAGAGACCGGATGATGCGGTGGGCTCAGCGGCCCCCGCCATCATGATCGGTCTATTTGTCTCCTTTGGAGGTATCCTCTTCGGGTATGTACTCCTATTACTCAGTAATGACACGTGGGATGTGTCTCTGACCTGGATCTGAATAGATATGACACTGGAACCATCAGTGGTATCCTGGCCATGAAGTTCTGGCGGAAGATGTTCTCTACTGGATACATCAACCCCTCTGATGACTACCCCGATGTAACCTCATCTCAGTCTTCCATGATTGTGTCATTGCTGTCTGCCGGTACTTTCTTTGGTGCCCTGGCCTCTGCCCCCGTTGCGGATTACTTTGGTCGCCGCATTGCCATGATCATCGAATCATTTGTCTTCTGCTTCGGTGTGATCCTCCAGACCGCAGCCACCTCGATTCCTCTGTTCGTCGCTGGGCGGTTCTTTGCTGGCTTTGGTGTTGGTCTACTCTCTGCAACTAGTAAGTCGCCAAGCCCCTATGCTACTTAGACACGTGCTAATTGGAATACAGTCCCTCTTTACCAGTCTGAGACGGCTCCGAAGTGGATTCGTGGTACCATTGTCGGCGCCTATCAGCTGGCCATCACCATTGGCCTGCTGCTTGCTTCTGTCGTCAACAATGCCACCAAGGACCGCATGGATACTGGTAGCTACCGCATTCCGGTTGCCGTCCAGTTCGCATGGGCCATCATCCTCGTTGTCGGAATGAGTGTGCTTCCCGAAACACCTCGCTTCCTGATCAAGAAGGATAGACACGAGGCTGCGGCCAAGGCGCTTGCTCGTCTTCGCCGTATGAATGTTGACGACCAGGCCGTCGTGGATGAATTGACGGAGATCCGCGCCTCACACGAATACGAGATGAGCGTGGGCAAGGCAAGCTTCCGCGACATTCTGACTGGCTCCCTGGGTAAGCGGTTGGCCACTGGATGTGCTGTGCAGGCGCTGCAACAACTCGCTGGTGTCAATTTCATCTGTAAGTGTGCTTCTTATGATTCGTCAAGGTTCTCAGACTAATCGCTTTCAGTTTACTACGGAACGACCTTTTTCCAGCGCTCGGGTATTCAGAACAGCTTTACCATCACACTCATCACCAACATTGTCAACGTGGTCTCCACGTTCCCGGGCCTGTACATGGTTGAGAAATGGGGTCGCCGGCCCTTGCTGCTGTTCGGTGCAGTTGGCATGTGCGTGTGCCAGCTGATCGTGGCCATTGTGGGCATGGTGGCTTCCTCGGACGTGGCCAATAAGGTCCTGATCGCCTTTGTCTGCATCTACATCTTCTTCTTTGCCAGCTCTTGGGGCCCCGTCGCGTGGGTTGTGACAGGTGAACTGTACCCCCTCAAGGCTCGTGCCAAGTGTCTCTCCATCACGACGGCTACGAACTGGCTGCTGAACTGGGCCATCGCCTATGCCACCCCCTACATGGTGGATTCCGGTCCGGGCAACGCGAACCTGCAGTCCAAGGTGTTCTTTATCTGGGGTGGCTTCTGCTTTATTGCGGGAGTGTTTGTGTACACCTGCATCTACGAGACCAAGGGCCTCAGTCTGGAGCAGGTGGACGAGCTCTACTCGAAGGTGTCGGCAGCCTGGCGCTCTCCGGGATTCATCCCTTCGGCACACTTCGCCGGTGCGGATACCGACAAGGCCGGGCCCAGTGTGTACGAAGTGGAGGGTGAACTCCCCCAGAAGCGCGAGTCTCAGCATATTGAGACGGCTTAATATGGATTCTTATATGGCTTAGGATATGACTTTATTTATTTATTTGGATATGGCTGGACATGGGTTTTCTTTCTTTCTGTTTATATAGTTAGCCTATGATGTGATATATTTAGCGCACGATATGATATATATGACTATGTTTGAATTACCAATCTCTTCTTATCTCTTCTTCGTGCATGTCATTTGCACGTCACTTGTGACCCTGGGGGTGCCTGAGTGCCTGAGAGGATGACCCCCCTGTGACGCCTCAGGCAACGATCGCCCGTCGCTGATTGGGCGCCACCCCCCACCGGGTGACGTGCACGGGCCCACCGCACGTGATGCTGGCCTGAAATCTGGGGCCAATCTTTCATCATTGAGGAAGGCTGCGATTCCAGATCGTCTCTGCTTCGCCTCGATCTTCATCCCCTATTTCTCCCTCCCTCCCTCCTCCCTCTTTCTCCCCCCTTCCTCGTTAACTGAAAATGAGGCCCTTTTCCTTCCCTGCTTTTGGATCAGCCACTGTACCCTGATCCCCCATGTTCATCTCTGAATCCGACCCCGACGAGGGGCTGTCCACCAGTGTTGCCCGGGGCGCTCAATCGCGCGTTTCTGACAAGGCCCCTTACTTCGATACCACCGTTGAAGTCGGTTCGACTGAGCAGCATCCAGCGCCCGACGCAGGGCTGAAAACACCCTTACAGACAGGGTATGAGTTGCAGGATTTGGGCCCCGTTTGTGATGAGGATTCGGAAAATGCCTCAGCGGTCACTGAACGACTACTTGGAGAGGAAGGACCATTTCCATGGAAGAATCAACTTGGCAGCTCGATTGCAAATAATGTTACACACCCATTGTTCCCACCGTTACCGTCCTACGGACCGCCTTCCCTGATTACCTCGGTTCAGCATCTGATCATCCGCTGCGTATCCTTCGTTTTGTCCCTCGTCTTTCTCGGAACAGTCATCCTGGGCGCTATTATTCAGACCGCTAGTGCATCTGTTTTGCAGATTCGTCGGAAGATAGGTGGACCGTCTCCCCGCACTACGAGATTATTTCACGAAGAGGAGCGATCACGGCAGGTAGAGCGAAACAAGGCTTCGCGGAGGTGGAGTTACCGACGAGAGAAGGAGGTGGATGAGGAGGCGCTGGATGAATGTCCGCCCTTGGAAGGGGGTAAGGATCCGGTTGTATGCGATGTAG